TTTTGGAGCCGCATTATAATCAACTGAATTTCACGCGTTGGCGTAAAATAATTTCTCTATTTTGGTAAACATATTAAATTAATATTTCACGATTCAGAAATTCAACTTTGTCCGTCCGTTTCGTTAATGTCTATTAACATATTCACAACTAAATATAACTTAATAAAGGACACGCTGCCTATTTTGCGGCTCTCATGCTTTATTAACTTGTTCGCATCGCGGATTTTGTGTAATAAGCCCGTCTTTTATCACGGGATTGGGACTGTAGCCATTTATTAAAATGGGTTCCCAAACGGAAATTACTACACTTTTGTTCACATCGTCTCCCTTTATAATGAAAATGTTGGAACTGTTAATTGACTGAAACAAATTAGTTAATTTCTAAGTGGCCGTTCAAATAACTGATGCTATAAGTAATGGAAAACATTTAATTGAATAAATTGAAACCACTAATCAATTTGATGAAGCACTGGAATAGTTTGGACCGTTCATTGGTTTGCTAGTAACACCAGTTAGAAGTGGTCCAATAGAAAACGTGTTTAGGTCACACGGGCCGGTTGGAGCGGAACATAAATTGTCATTCATTAATCTAGTCCGAGTTAATCAATTCACTGCATTCTTTAACGGTGCGTCGCCGTTGAAAAGAGCAAAACTTTAAGGCGTGGTTGCACAAAAGATCTCACGGTATAGACCTTGACGCGCCATGACAGTAATCATTCAAATGATGTAAACATTGCAGCCGAGATAGCTGTAGAGGTTGCACAAAAACGCCTGGGAGTCGACTCTGTACGCTTATCGATACATCAAATGAGATATAAGATTTTAATATTTTTTTTTTTCTGCAACGACTAAATCTCTGTATAATATTTTACTTACACGCATAGGATACAGGTCACGAAAGCAAACATTCTTACATAATCCGGATAATGTTTGTTTGTTTGCTACCTCTCGGCGCCATCATAATTCGTTATAAAATTTAGCATACACGTAGTATTTGGCACGGGGTACGACATGACCAAACTTTTTGGGTTCTGCTTTTAAAAGTGAGTTGTTCCCGAATGTTTATTATTATTATTTCATCCGTTAACTGTCCACTGCTGAACATAAGCCTTCCCCATAAGGGGAGTTTTGTCAATAGTTGCCACGCTTGGCAGGCGGATTGGCAACCGCAGTTAGCCTTTAGAGATGTTTTAAGAAGGACGCTGCTGCCCATTCCTCGCCCTCCCTTAGTCGATTACGACACCCACGGGAAAGGTAGGGGTGGCCAATTCTATGGCGGGACCACATGGCCAAAAATAATATTCCGAAAGTATTTCACGTGAATTTATATACAGTAATTGTATAGTACATTAGTGTGCTACAGCATCAAGACTCCCTAGGTTAGATAGCAAACTTAATAATGAAGTACATAAAACAAAGTGATATGACGCTGAGACTTTATAAAGTTTATTTTCGGGGTTTAAAGCGACGAGATTTTAGGTATATGATATCTACATATCTTATTTTACTGTCTACTTTTAAAGATCAACGTTTCCATTTGTATATATGTCGTGACTTCTCCTATTCCCATTATCTGTTCGATTAAAATTAATTAACAATGGAAAGTTAGAAAGTATAACGAGTGTCCTTTTATTGGGCCGGGACCAACAGTCGTAATCCGGGAGAGGCCGACCCTATTAATGAAACAAACTGCTGCAGCCAACGATGATATTAAAACTTCTGATCTTCAAGTTTAGAATCCTTTTTAATTAACACTGTTGACATTGTGGACGAGCCATTGATAAACGGTTTTATGTATAGCGTTATATAATTTTTTCAGTATCTTTCAAGACGTTCTCTCTTGCGTCAAAATATGGATTTTAATAATAGTGTTCCACAAAAAAAAAAAAAACAAGCAATTGTGGCAAAACCACTTATTTTGATTTGAAAAATAAACTAGTAAACTGATTTTGAAAAAATTTCTATGGGTCTAATCCAGCCTTTCTCAAATGGGGCGATAACGCCCACTTGTTCACGCTGTAGGCCTAAAAGGGGGCAGTAAGAGACCCAGAAAAAAAAAATGGGTGCGTTGTGTAGAGGCTTGGGGGGTGATTTGTTGATCTTGAAGTAGTATATAGTAGTATAGTAGGGGAAAAATTGGGGGCGCTAAAAAATCATTTCTTCTCAAAGTGAGCAGTAACAAAAATAAGTTTGGGAACCCCTGGTCTAATCGGTAAATATATCCTTTCAGATAAAAAAGAATTTTCCAAATCGGTTTACAACTGACGGTTTACAGTTATGAGGTGACAAACAAAAAAACTACAACCGAAATGAGAGCCTACTTCTTTTTGAAGTATAAATTAATTCGATGGCAATATTTATTTGCATGTTACGCGATATCTTTATTAATACTAAATTTTGATACTGGTGGTTGTTTTTGTAATAGATAGGTCCTAGCAGCCGAGATTGCTGTCAAATTGGCCCCATATTATTTTGTCACAATTGAAGTTGATGCTTTTTTCGAACAAAAACACTGCTGGGACCATGGGACTGGCAAATAAACTAACGGCCCACCTGATAAATGGTAGCCGACTATAGATATTAACAACTCTACGGATATCCCCATGGGGGTCATTCGTTGTTATTTTTAGGGGCTGAACTGTCGTAACTCTTGTTGATTAAGCTGATAGAAATAATTACAATATTGTACTTATTTCCATTATTATTACACGAGACTGGTAAGTAGGGATGGATTATTATTCCCTACTTTCCAGTCTCTATATATTTATAGCAATAAGAAAAGGTTAAAGTTACATTTTCTTTCGTTTGAGTCATAATCTTAATTTTTCATTTTTACAATTGAACTGTCAAACCTTAAAATCATTTAACTAAATTTCTATTGTAGGTAGTATATTCATTTATTCATAGTGTATGTATTTATGTAATATTTTATTATGTATCTTAATATTTTATTTAACTGTATATTTGTTTATGTACACTAAATATTAATAGTTGTAGCACTTCAGCTGCCCGCTAAACAACATGCTCTCTAACTGCATTGGGTTGACTAAAAGAGATCTCTGTCAGAAATAAGTCCACCCTTGCTCACAATATTTATAAATGCATTAACAATGTAATTTACAAGTGCAATAAAGAATATAATATATATGTTAGTTACAATACCTACATATATATTAGCCGAATAACGAATATGTTAAATGTCTGTTATCCAATATTTATTGATGAAATGAAGAGGCTGATCGAAATTAATATAGATATCTGACTGGTATGGTGATATCGAAGTGGGTGATGACCTTTATTCCGCCATCAATGTCCAGAGAAACCCAGTATATAGATATTGGAGCAGTACCGATTATACCGATGCCTGTTTGAACGAACTTCTTATCGTTCAAACAGTTTCTGAATTAATAATAATAATAAACTCTTTATTGCGCACAGTAGAGATGTATACAAGGAGTATTTATATAGAATGTGCATATACACAAGGCGACTTTATCGCTAAAAGCAATCTCTTACAGACAACCTGGCATAAAGAATGGATAAGTACAGAGAGAAAGGAGATGGCGCAAGTCAGACACAGTAAATACATAAAAGGAATCAAACAAAATGCAAAATATTCTAAATATAAAAATAAGATTACAATACATAAACATACATATATAATATAAATAATAATACATAAATATAAATATACTAAATAGATCAAGATAAATCACACATAGTAAACATCAAAGCAAATTAGAGAGATAGATAATGAGATTTTACCTGCCTCTTGAACGAGGCAAGAGATTGCGCTGATCTAATAGAAAGAGGTAAGGAGTTCCAGAGACGGACAGCTTGGATAGTGAAAGAATAGGAATAGAATTTAGACTTTAGTCACATGTATGTATAAACATAAAAGGAACGCGTGCTCAAACACGACACAGTCAGTGACAATTATGATGCCCTATAAATTACAAGGCATCGTACGCAATTTACATCACAAGCGTACATAATTCGATTCCGGCCACGCAAATTGGTCGAGTTTCAGCTAATTCTTGATTATGTTTATTAACTGTTTTTGACAAGGATGGTTTATTATCATATGTACCATCGGAGGTAAACAATTTATTTAAATTATAAAAAAAATGGTAATCGATACATATGTAAAGTAAAACTCAAGGTGAATTACGAATTAAAGAATTTAATATTATAATGATTTGTGAATCACTTACGAATTTGAAAGGTAACGGTTTGTGCGATAAACTTCAATGATAAAAATGATTTAATCAGTTAACATGTCATAATTATGTATCACTACAAGTTGAAAAATGTTTACATATTTTAAACCAAGAAGTGTTATGGGAAAAGTATGCGACCGCTCTATGTATCATCATAACATACTTACATCATGTTATGTAGTCGTGTCTAGTGCTGATTTTGTTAACCCATGTTAGTGCCATTTATTTTTACTCATATCTACTTAGACGTGTTGATGTCATTTACCCTTGTCTCTAAAAAAGACTATCTCGTTCAAAAATTATCCAATTTTAATATTTTTTTTTACAGCACTTTTAGTTGCAATGCGCACGAGCGCGATGCCGCTCGTCGGCACTCAAAGGGTTAAGTGCGAAATGTCTCCGTCTATACGAATTTTTAATTAGAATAATATTATTTATTTAGAAGTGTAGTGTGTAGGTCCCGGCATAGAATAGGTCACCCCTTCCTTTTCCCTCCGTGTCGTAAGAGGCAACTAACGGAGTCTATGGTGGAGGGATGAGCAATAGAGTTCATCTTAAATATCACCAAAAGTCAAATCGCGGTTGCCAACCCGCCTGCCAAACGTGGCAACTACTGACTAAACTCCCCTTATTGGGGAGGCTGTGTTCAGCAGTGGACAGTAACAGTTGATACAACAAATTCTAGCGAAACTTCACAAGGACAAGATATTTTATAAGTACCCTTTTCAAGTTTACAAGCATAAACAGAAGTAAGAATATTTTTAGTAAAAAAAAACTTACCCGGATAAAAATCGTGAGACTTGGACATCTTGACTCTTGCACCGGTCTCTTTCTGTAGTTGAGCAATGGTTTCGCCCCCTTTGCCGATGATGGCACCAGCCACCATCGAGGGCACGAGCACCTTGAAGTGGTATGTGGGCTCCACCGCTGTAGATTACACATATAATTAAATAAATCGCCAAGTTATCACTAAACGAGTACTGTGTTCATTACAATTCTAATTACATGGAAGACTACATTATAGCAACTACATAATTTGAGGTAGCAATAAGTCAAAATTTGTTAAAGGTGAGCAGTGAAACAGCAGGAGTCTCTCAAGGCAATCCTATGCTTGGTCTTTATCGAGGCGAGGCTGTTGAAATAGGTAATAAATCAAGTTGAATTACGGCTGGCAACAACCTTAAAGTTTTTGGTGTTATCCATTATGATTAATAGTAAATCGAAACTAATATTGATAGTATATTTATAAGATACCGAACAAAACTTTATGATGAGAATCCGAAGGTTAGGTACTTTATCTAACTCTGTAATTCACACAGTACTCTAGTATTTTTCTGAATAAAGTTATAAGTATGAAACGAAATAAAATGTTTGGAAGTTGTGACCAATAAAGAACCATAACGCCCAATGCTATTGTTTTTCGAGAACTAGCGAACAAAGGAATCGATATTGAAATATACAAAATTTCTGCCTTCGGTCACTAGTTTTAGTCTGTATGAATAGATGTGATGTGCATTTATGTCAAATTTAACCACACCTAGAAGAACCTGTGCCGATGACGGAGATAATGGTGGTACACATACATGACATACATTTGTTACTAGCTTTAGAATTATAAACTCCTATTGACATGTAATTCACTATGTTTACGATGGGGCACGTATTGACTATCAACCAAACGGTATTATGTATAAACAAACAAAAGTAACTTAAGATGCATGTGGCATTAAACTTAATTTATACGTAAATTATGAATTTGAAGGCAATAATTATACAGCTGCATTGAAATTTGGTTATTTACATGCATTTGTAATAATTATAAGAAATCAACATAGTCTAATAAATGAAAGATAGAGTAAGGCTAATAAAAATGATTGATGAAACAATGAACGACATAAAAACATCCTACGCAATATCTTATCCTATCGTACTTTTGTTACTAAAGATTAGACAGAAAACTGAAACACTGCTAACACGAGGACGGCTAAATATTAATAGTGACTCGAGCGAAATTACAACAAAAACAATAGGTACGATCAGTATATTAAAATCGAACTATATATACAATAAAAAATAAATATTAACCTTACAGTAGGACACGAATGATTCAATTATAGAGTAGTGCAAAATATACACGTTAGAGGTACACAAGTAGGAGAATACAAAGAAACTAGTGCACCGCCCACATCCAATATGTTTCAATTGAGATGCATCCTACTGACGGCACTGACGTGATAGCCGCGTCTCGTTTGACCTCATTTGAAACGAATCACACTGTTATATGGTGAACACACCTGCCTCCGATCTAAAGCTACGAACGTTGGAGGAATGCCATTGCTAGAGACAATTTCTCAAGATACTCGACTACATCTTTAATTTGGATTTGCTATCTGGTGTTTACAAAATTGCAAATGTATGAAATTTCGTTTACTTGGCTTTTAAATGGTTAATATCCTTAACCCTATTCCTAATTATTCTCGGGCTATCTTGTGTGGCTTCATATTATATAAACGACAATAGTGATCCCAATTTACAAGAGATCATATAATCGACAGATATTAAATCGTTACTATGGATACAATGAAATGATTTAAATAAAATTTTACTATGTTTGTAATTAAAACTATTCATTTAACAATTAAATTAATTTTATTTATATTAGCAAAGACGTTTTCATGTGCTAGAAATAATCAGATAATACGCATTAAATATATTCGTAGCCGTGTGGTCCCGGCATAGAATAGACTGCCCATTTCCTTTCCTGTAAGTGTCGTAAGATGCGACTAAGGGAGTGCGAGAGATAGGCAGCAACATCCCTCTTAAAACATATCCAAAGCCTAACTGCAGTTGCTAATCCGCCTGCCAAGTGTGGTAATTCTACTGGCAAAGCCCGCCAAAGGGGAGGCTTAAATCCAGCACTGGACAGTTAAAAACTGATATGATGATGAAATATATTGGGTCTAATGAACTACTTGATTTCTATAAGGAATTTTTTTAATGTACAAAACTACTTAATACTTCATTATAGTATATAATATTACCATAGATACAACAACAGTACATTTCAATATATACAACAAAGTCGTTCATTAACTATGTTTTATACAGATGTACAGAGCAACTTAAAGATATGCTTTTTGTCGACTCAAAGCAGTAAAAACACTACTGATCTAAAATGTGATGAAATATAATGAAATAGTTGACCGATGCACTGTGTATATACGAAAATGACAGACTTAATTAACGAATGGCAGTTAATGGATATTCCAGTAATTGTTATTGGTGATAAATATGAAAACGGAAGGTTCAGTAGCTGCGAGACGATAATTGGCTGCCTAATTGATGTACAATGATATTTGCCTACAATGTATTTATACAACGATTAATTACTAATAATTAATTGGAGTACTGATACACATTACGCGTAAATACAATTGTGTCTAAATATTAAAAACGCATGATTATTTTCATAGTCTTTTTATTTTTACATATGTAGTAACCATAATTTACCGAAATTAGATCACGAGTTGACCTAATATAAACTGCTAATTTTGAAATTTGATGATGTCATCTGCTGATAAGCTTTTTTAACATTTTTAAAAAGGATACAGATAAAAATTTTTGACTACCCTTGGAGAAATATTTATTTCCTATAACGTCCCTATCTATGGGTCATTTAGACAAGTCAAAGAATATTTACTCCACAAATAAAATCACCAAACAATAATACGTCGCGAGAAAAAAATTACATTAATAATCCGATCTTGGAATAAGTCAAGAAATGTTTACGAATAATTAATTTGCCGAATTGTTTTGTCCACTTCATTTACAGAAGAATACAGGCAGCATTTTATATTTCAAGATTCAGCGGCGGCGAGTCCTAATGAATCAGCCGGGACAATTGCTGCAAATTACGTTTCGCGAATTCAAAGTGAACGTCTGCGTGGGCCGACACGCAATTCATTCTTTATTTTTATTAATGAATTTAAACAAACCGCTGCCACCGACTCAGAGGACGACATCCACTTTGAAACTGAGCAAGCGTTGTGGATTAACAAATTATCGTAACGATCATCTGCCTAAAAGTTGATATTAAATTCTAATTCCTCGGGGACAGATAATTTACTTTGTGATAAGACGAAATTAAATTTTCTTAACAAAATGAAGAACAGATTTATTACGGTTTATGTCATTGTGGTATTGCAGTGTTTAACAGAGGATAATTAATGACTGAAATTATTATGTTGCTTGTGCTTGTGAATGCGAATTAAACGGAGCGATGGCGTCAGATTCTACTGTTTATACCATACAAACAGTCGATGGAAGTAGGTACTCATTATCGTAATGAATCAGAATACATCAGAATAACTGAAACGATGATCTGAATGAGAATAGACATCATCATATGTCCATTTTTAAACATAGACTTTAGAGACTGTCATAAAGAACGATCCTAAGTCACTTGCATTCACTGACTCCCTGCAATATATTTAGATCGTTACTCTATCTGGTGGGAGTGTCGTCTTCAACTGCGTTTTCCCGTACGGGATCGCCACGCTTTAGTGGCCTTTCTTCCCCATCGGTTGCAGGTCCTTCGAGCTATGTGATTAGCCCATTGCCGCTTCAGCTTACTTTTTCTTTGGGCTATATTGGCCACGTTGGTTCTTCTGCAGATATTCTCATTTCAAATCCTATTACGCAAAGAAATTCCAAGCATAACCGTTCTCGATAGCTCGCTGGGTAACTTGAAGCTTTTACATACGGGCAACCATATAGGACCATGTTTCGGTTCCCATAGCAGATAGATATTGGCAAAAACTAAAATCTTCTCTATAACATGTTCTGAAACATAGTGGGGCCGTAATAAATCACGCGTGATCCGATCAGTCGCCGCGGGCCCGAGGGTTATCGCTTGGGCCGCTCATCTAAAAATGTTCATGACGAAATCTAACCGATAGATTATTCGCACTCGTGATTAACGATCTGTACACTATTTGCACTGTAAACTTTTCGTCGCGTTCACTAATGTACGACAACTCAAAGAGTTTGGGTAACGTGGACGTCATTTTCGACTGATGACTTTTGACTTGAATAATTGTGTTCATGGAAATCATATTATATATTTTGAAAGATCAATTTAGAAGAAACAATTTTTTATGGGAACTATATAGTTAAACAAAATGGAAGCTGAAATACTCTTATATGAGTTTTAATTTTATCAGATATGTCTATGTACAGATTAAGAGAATTTTCAAGTTACAATCCAATAAGTTATTAATTATAAATATTTATATAAAGTAATATTACATAATGATACAAAAATAACAGCGATAGATACAAAAAATAAACGAGACGCTGCTGATACAATGAGATACAAAGTTACTCATACCCCTTTGATTGTTTTGCGAAAACCAAACAACACGAGAACGTCGAGACGTGAAAGCACTATGTTGATGTTATTTTAAGAATCATAATTAGTAGCAAATTATATATAATTGATAGCTGTAACGTAATAGATTTGAGACTAGAACCACTTTCAACCCAGCTATATATTTCACAATACAGACAAGACAATGTAAGTTAAATACATAGGGCTCGGATAGTAGGCACGGCAGACGGAAAGGGGCTGAATGGGGAAGGCTTCCTAGGCGAGCGGAAACAGCATCTGTCAAGATTGCGTCGTACGTAGTAATGGTGACACGACAGAATCTTTTTCCAATGTTTTCAAACCTGGCGTGGACGAAATAGGAAATTACAAACTTCAATCTAAGCTTTAGGCCCTTGTCAGTCGGAGAATTACAATTTCTTTGCCTGTTATGTGTATTATATTAAAAACTTTGTTAGGCGCTGACCTCGGTTTGCCCTTGTCTTAGTTAATAAGTAGTATTTTAGCAAGTATTGATTTTTATTTGGTCACTTTTATTTAT